GATTATATGTCTGAGTCTTTATTCTTCATATGTAATTTAAAAGTAAGCTTTTCTTTGTAAAAACTTCAATTAAATTTTAATAAAGTTAAAGGCATGGCCTCACCATTAATATTTAAAAAAAAAAAAAAAAACTATCGTATAATAGAACTGCCGCAGATCTTTTTCTGTCATTAATGACGTCATAATATCAGCACCGGTTCGTGCATCATTTAAGCCAAAGGCTTAAATAGCTGCACAGCATTTAAGCCATTAGCTTAAACGCTATTAACGATAGTTATCCTGCTGCACAGGCTGTCCTCTTCGAGGAGAGCTCGCTTTGCGAGCAAATTTGTTCACGGATGCGAACAAATTGAATTTTGTTGTGTTTTACAATGATAATTGTGTTAATGATACAAAGTATCATTTGTCTTCTCTGACGATTACAACATATCGTCCATGCAAAATATGCAAGCGACACTTAAAGAGCGCGTATTTGCACTTGTATGTAAAAATTTAAAAATTTAAAAATATAAAAATCTTTAGCTATTGACAAATACATCGTATAACTCATATTTGTTAGCGATTGACAAATACATCATATAACTCATATTTGTAAGGGATTGACAAATACATCATATAACTCATATTTGTTAGGGATTGACAAATACATTATATAACTCATATTTATTAGTGATTGACAAATATCATATGACTCGTATTTGTTAGCGATTGACAAATACATCGTATAACTCGTATTTGTTAGCGATTATTAATTTTGGCGAGAAAAAAATCCTGACCTTAAATACGGACATAAATACGGAATTACATGCAATAAAATTTTATCAAACGTGATAAAAAATTATCATCTAAAAGTAGCGATAATTTTTTATCGATGCAACAGAAAATTGTCATTTTTAAACACAGTAAAAAATACCATTTTTAGGATCTGAAAAAAATGGAAAAAAAATCCCGTTTTTAGGATTAAAAAAATAACAAAATTTTGTTGATGCGACAGAAAATTGTCGTTTCAAACAGAAATGATAAAATTTTATCAAACGTGACAAAAACTTTTCAACTAGAGTTAATGAAAAAAATTTTTCAAACGTGACAAAAAATTTTCAATTAGAGTTAATGAAAAAAATTTTTCAGACGTGAAAATTTTTTGTCACACCGTAGATACGAACATAAGGACAGAATTACAGTCAGAAAGACAGAAATATGGACGTAGAACAGTTGAAAAGACGGAAAGATGGTTTTTGAGCTCTTAGCCAATGAGAGTGCTCTATTTTAATGATTTGAACAGATTTTGAGACAGATTCAGAATGGATGCGCAGTAAAAATTTATTAATAAATACAAGAAAATGGAGTAATCTCATTGGATGGAGATGAGTTTACGGTAAGGATGGACTCTAGCCAATGAAAGCGCGTTATTCGGTAAAATGTGTGGTAGATCTTTTCTAAACTATTTTTGTTGTCAATCGTTTTTTAGTTGGGTTGTCGATCTTTTGATTTATTTTAACCAAAATGAGGTTCAAACAAACCCAATTTGGGTTTGTTTGAACCTCAATTTGGTTTAGGATCAGCAAGAGCATACGTCAAGGTGCAGCAGTTTCCGTGTTGTTGATCACTAATTAAAACTCAATTTTTGACCAATCAGATTGCATTATTCCCTGATCGATATAATTCTAGTAAATTGTATATTCTTTAATAAGAAATAATTTAGTTGTATATAACTATCGTATAGCAGAATTCTGGCAGATCAATTTTTACTAATTTTCTAGAACACAAAAGAACAAAGTCACGTGAAAAATATATTTATATTATTATGTTTTTACATACAAGTGCAAATATGCGCTCTTCAAAGTGTCGCTGACCAAATTCATTAGAAGTAGATAAAATGCCAAAAATTATAGATGCATTGACATTATCGAATAGAACTATACCACCATAAATATATCTACATAATTTAAAAAGAAGATATACTTTTAAAAAATTGCATTAATAATTATAAATTTAAAAATTGTATATTATAACTTACTTCATAACAATTTTAAAACTATCAGCAGAAATATGGGGCATACTGATATTTTTAACATTCTTGTCATAACTTATTTTATTCAACTTTTCATGAAGATAAAGACATCGAAAATTCAAAATAATTGTATGCGGCTTAAAAATTTTACGATCTTGCATTTGATCAACTTCAATCATTACGTTATAATCTTCACCATTTTCAAGAAGGTTCGTTAGGTCACTAGAAAGTTTTTTAAAGAATTCGATGGCCATTTTACGGAACAAGAGTTAAAGCAATTAAGGCGAAAGAAGGCATGTATGTTTACGTGCGTATAAATAAAAAAAAAAGCTGCATTATGTACTGGCACATGAATATATCTGACTAAAGATCGAAAAGAGTTGCAATATGCATAATTTAGCTATAACGCCAATGCCAGCTGTCAAGTAATAAGATAAAGTTTAAGATAGCACTTTGACTAGTTATCTACGATAACTTAGCAATATATATCTAATATTAGATTAATGTTGTCGTCTTATTCTAATATCTAATTTGAAAAAAAATCAGAAGTGATTAAAATGGGCTATAATTATATTTATAGTATAAGAGCTTATTATTTAGATATTTATCTAAAATTTTTACTAGTACCTTTTAAAATTTAATTATACTGTATAGAAACTGTATAACATGATCATGGCACAACTTTTGTGCTTAACTGCATAAAACTTTAAAAATGAAATAACATGGTAATGACAATCAATGTTCTAAATTTAAGTGCAATTATTTGTTTCAGATATAAGTACAAGTTTTTCACACATTCATTTGCAGCTTGCTAATCATATGTAGATAATGTTGATTAAGCAACTAAAGGTTAATGACTATTCAATCATAGAAGCATTCTTTAATGACCATACTCAATGTTTCTGTATTAAATTATACGTAATCAGAAAAATAAAATAAAACTTTATCAATTTATCCTTTTTTTTTTAGTGTCATTGTTTACAAAAAAATTTGTTTTAATAAAAATTGATTTTTTGAGACTCATTCTTAATTGGTAGCCACGGCTTCATTTGGAGGAGATTTCAAATTAATATCATCAATTCTATAAATTCTTATTTGAGATGATCAACAATTGTGCAACATTTTATTAATGTCAGTAATTACTGTAAGTTAGGGATGAGAAATGGTCCTAAAGGACCAGGTCTCAAAACTGTTTATTTAAGGACTTGATCGGCAGTCCGGTTTTAGTTCAAAATTGTAGTTCGAAACAAAGTTCCAAAAGACCGTTTCAAAGAACCTAAGGCTTGAACAGTTAATTGTTTATCAGTTTCACAATACGGTTTTTGTTCAAAGTCCCAGACTTGATCATATGCATAAGCTAAAAATATTTTTTTATATTGTCTCAGTAGGATACACGTGACTTTTAAAACTAAATACAATACAAAAAAATATTTTCAAGACTTAAAGAACAGAAAGAACAAATAAATTAATAAAAATACAAGAAATTAAAAAAAACAAAAGCATGAGCAATAAAAAGAAAAAGAACAAAAGCAAGTATTAATTAATAAAAATACAATTTTTTTTATTTAAAGGCATGTCTTGGTCAATTTTTCATGTCAATTTTTCGCCGTCATGGACAACATTAATAATATTGAAGTCATTGATCTTTCATATGATGAAATACGTGAATCTTTACAAAATGAAATATACAACCCTTTACAAAATGAAATATGCGATCCTTTACAAGATAAAACATCACAAAATAGTGAAACAATAAATGATCCTTTACCTGATTCTAATGAAATAAATGATCCTTCGCCTGATCCTAATATGTTTGTGGAATTGTATTTATTTAAATCTAATGAATCATCAAATAAAAAATGTAAACTTTCTAATCCGCTACGTGATTATCTTGTACCAAGTACTAGTGGTTACATTGTTTGCTGTACATTATGTGAAGTGAGCTGGAAAAAATCAACTGGAATCAGTACAATTAAAAGACATTTTAAAAAATTTCATAAGGATATTTATGACCAATTGCAAGAGGAAATTCAGAGAAATAAAACCATTGAGCCATATGGTCCAAATGATGAAGTAAAAGTTAAACGCATTACTTATTTACTTATTAAGTGGCTTATTTGTAATTAACAACCTTTTATAGTTATCGAGAACCTTAGCTTTCGTGAGCTTATAAATGAACTTGACAAACAATATAGATTACCATGCCGAAAAACTATATCTAACCAAGTTAATGCCATCTATCAAACACAACAATTAAATGTTAAAAAAATTTTAAGCACAATGACAAGAAAAATGTCAATGACAACAGATATATGGACAGCTTGTGATGGTGGTAGTTACTTGTCAATCACACTTCATTGGATTGATAATGATTGGAACATGCAAAAATTACTTCTCAATCTTATTCCTCTTAAAGAAAGTTATACTGGGTTAAATATTTCAAATGCGGTATTAAAAACTATTAGCTTTTACGAAATCAGAAAAAAAATCATTGCCGTAACAACTGATAACGGGTCCAACATGATTACCTTTGCCACTCATTTACAACAAAACCTCAAAGAACAATTTAACAATACAGAATTTCAGCATTATCGCTGCGCTGCTCATACCTTAAATTTAATTGTAATAGAGAGGTTAAAATTTGTTGATGAGTCTATTGTAAAGGCAAGACAATTTGCATTAACTGTCCATCACTCGCAACTCTTTACTAGAGAATTAAGACAAATATTTCAAATGAAAAACAAACCATTTCTCATGCCTGATTTAGATGTCCAAACAAGATGGAATAGTAAGTTCCTGATGATCGAAAAGCTAAAAACAATTTGAGAATTTACTGATATTCTTGTTGCATCAAATAGTTTTTTACAATCCATTTACCCAACTGATTCAGAATGGTTAGAAATTGAAGTAAGTTACTTTTTTTTTTTTATAATTTTTTATCTATTTACTCATATACTTTTTTTTTTTTATTAATAGGCAATTCATACGCTTTTAGAACCTATTTATGAGGCAACTAAAGTTCTCTCATCATCGAGTTATCCAACTTTAGGTGATCTTCATTTAGTGTTCACTACAATCAATAAGTTTCTTGAAGATATGATTAACGGCTCAATAGAAGATACTACGCCAAAACTTGTTGCAACAGCTATGGCAATTAAACTTGATGAGTATTAGCAACAATTCGACAAATCATCATTTATTATTGCTCCACTAGATCCCAATATAAAGCTTTCATTATATGATTTATCAA